AATACGGAGAAATCCTCAAATCCAGTGTAGACCCAAAAAGTGAAACTGGTTGTTAAAAAGAACATTACCGCTTCCAGGCAAGATATTACTCTAGGGTAATATTTTCATACAACAACACCACCTCAAGACTGAAGTACAGTATATTTTGGCTTTCTTTCAATTAGATCACTTGTAATAAATAATTAAAATAATTGGCTGAATTGAGCAAGAGACGGACTACTGTTTCACTGACTTTGTAACTTCTTCAGCTACGTATTCGAAATTATTCATCGCCTAAAAACCTATTCCTAAACAGTTTCATTTCAAAAGTGATGAAACTGAAGACATTTCGAATGGTTATTCACTAATTCATCAATTATCATGTACTAAATAGAATTATTAAGACGTCCGTACAGTTGTACAGCACATATCTTATGTACTGCTAACTAAACAAATCAAAATAACGAATGGTTTTATTACTGTAGGTATTTCGCTTTCTACTGATAAGTTGTAAGATCAACCAGATAGAGTGCAAAGCCGTCATAAATCTGAAACAGTATGCATTCAATCCGAGTGCATAGAGCTCTATATGTTAAGTAAGTTGCGTTACAAACACATTTTATTAATTCGAAACATTGTAATGAGTAACCAGATAATATATTCACAGCATAAATAACTTAATACACCATACAAAGTATAAAAACAAACCATAAAAATAAGTTCGAAAATCTAAAAAATAGTAAACAACGTCTAACAAATCTTCAATATAAAAAAAGATATTTTGCCGCCTAGTGATTTGAATCGCATATACATACAAAATATAATCAAAAAGAATAAGATTGCTAAAAGAATTGATCACATAAGTTAAAAAGAAGAGCCTTTTCATGTTCTCATTCATGTAATTTCTAAACGAAAATAGAATAAATGGTTGCCCATTTATGTCTGCAATAATAAAATGAAAATGTTGACATATCATGTTAAGTAGCTTTTTTAAAAGATTAATCTGTGTAGTAAGATCCATGCATATTAAAGAAAAATTCGAAGAAATATGTTTACAATAAGAAAAATGGCTGGTAGAGGAACATATTTGAAGAATGCTAGAGGTTTCTAAACCAAAAAGCGAAATTGTTGGCCATTAGATAGAGCAATATGAGTAGTTGCAGACTAATCATTGCAACCAGTCTCATTATTGTACTCGATGCTTGGAAATTGCACTACATGGATTAGGATCGACTGCAATAGGGTAGATGAATTTACTCCTGCTCTTCCCTTAGATATTGAATTTCAAGGTTATATTACAGTTTTTAATATTTTTTAATTACATTATTTTATAACCTAATGGTTTCTACCACTATTACTGCTTCCACCCATCTGGGATCCGTTGTGCTAATTTGGCGTGGCAATTTGAAACAATGCAGATAGGTTAGAGGTTTTACGTTTTTGTTTTTAACTAACTGACTGACGTTCCCAAAAAATCTTACAGGTTATTAATTTTTTTAAAACGTTTTAGCTTAATGTTTATTTAAATGCTTATAAACAATAGTAACAAGATACTTCATTGGTTTATTCAACTCTGGAAATATTTAAAATATCCGATCATCATTTCGAGATCAACATTGAATGTTCGACATGAATAGGGAAAGGTTCGTATCCGAATCAACAATAATAAACTGATAAATCAATAGCTTATCACGTTGAGACTGATATCAGTCATTCAGTCTTTCTAAATTTTTCATTGCTCTTATCTTGTTAATTTCAAAAAAGTAACTCAACTTTATAAACAACGTTTACATTGCATAATGCAGTAGATAATCTCAATTGTATTGTAATATTTACCATGTTTACCAAACAATGGTGCTACTTAGTTTCGGGAAAAAAATCCAAAAAAAATTATTCTTTATTTAAAAATAATAAAATTAATTAGAAAGAAAAGAAGAAACAAGAGATAAAGTTTACCTTTTAACTTTTATTTCGAAAAAAATAAATAAAAGAAAATTAAAATGTAATTAAATCAAGAAAACTTATAATAAACTTAAGAACAGAAAACATTAAAGTGAATGTAGATTAAATTTAATTTGTAATATAATTATTACTTATTATTATTATTATTGAATTATCGCGGATAACTATGTTTTGGTCGACTATTCCGCTGGTTTTTATATAATTAATTATCTTATTGTATATACACATATACATATATATAGGTATGTTATCACATCGATATTTTTTTCTCAAAAATCTTTAAAGTTGGAGCTCAATAACAAAAATACAATGCAACACAAGTGAACTTGAAACAAGCAAATAAACGTTGATATTTGGATACAAGGAATTACAGCAAAACAACAACAAAACAGTTTATTAAATATTATATTCTGATTTCCATTTGATTTTGAATACAAACAAACAAAACAGAAAAAAAAAGAATCTACTGAATAAAAAAGTGGAACAGTAAGAAAGAAAAGATTGTGACGAAAACAAACAAATTATAATAAATGCATAGCTGATTGAGAAAGAATGTGCAATGTAATTGGAGAGAAGAGAAATTGTTAAGGAAGAAAAGAGAAAGAGAAGCTGAACAGGATAGAAGAATAGAAAGATAAGAAAAATAAAAATAAACAGAAAAACTACTGAAAGGAAAGGGAAAGTTAGTGGACGAATTAGAAAACAATCATATTCTTATTAATTTGTTTAAAATAATAATAAGTATCAATAATGAGCAAATAATGAAAATGAAATCCATTTGTGCTTAATGTTTTGTCGGTTGATTTCATTAATGCATGTTCTCAATTATTTAAAATGTAAAAATCAAGGTCAAGAAGCTGATGATAATAATAATAATAATAATGAACAGAGGGAAAATCAAGAACTAGGAGAATAACCCGTGAACTTAGGTGTAGCATACCTAAATAAAGAAACGTAGTAGTACAAGGCCTGATCTATATTTTTTCTTCAGCAAAAGGAGTTTCAGTCCATTGAGCACATATATATGTATATATGACAAATATTCACTCCTTCAGGAGTGTCAAAAATGAATGAAATTTAGCATCATGTCTCAATGTTAAACAAAGAAGGAAAATAAGATTTTCCAAATTGATAATCATATTTTACATTCATACTTAATTTATCAATTCTTCTGATTGTTTATTAATTATGTTACATATTTAAAAACTGAATTATTATATTTCAATTTATTTCATAGCGTATCTTTAAACTTTTGTGAAATATACGAATTACATTACGTATGGATTAACATGAAATATTAAATAACTTATGCGTTGAAATCCGCTGAGATATTTGAATTTTACAGTATCAGTGATAACATATAGAATTTATTACATTACTACAATATCCGTTACTCGTTGAGTGTACTTCGTATCTCTGAATGATGTAACACAGTGATTTGATTTGATATTGTCACAAGTGTAACATGAGCTAAACATTTATTGTCAGATTTACTTATATGAACTTTTTTAATTAACCAAAACCTAATGAACCAGTCAAAACACATATATTCAAGAACTAAGTGATTATTTAGTCTTTATGTAATACGGTACATCAACATTTGCAGTCCAACTAAATCCAATGAAGCAATTTATATTAGATAAATATTGCAATAAATCTGATCTAAGGCATATGAATCAAATTTAAAATGTTCTATATTCACTGTTAAAACTGAAAGAAATTGCTTTGTTTCCGTAACAAATAATGAAGTGTACACAATAGCTCTGGCAAAAGTGTCATTATATAACTTGATACAGTTGGGAAAGACTAATTTATAAATAAATGCTGTTAAAGAAAACTAGACAAAATATTCAAATCTGTGGCTCAATACAACGTCTAAATTAAGTAGATTTAAATATGAAGAACACCTCAAACTTCACCACCCCCGTCATAGGTATATTCAAAGGTCGTAAACCCAAAAAACTAATCCAATCGTTTAAACTAACAGATCAATGAAAAATGAGCATTCTGACATAGAAAGAAGCGTTATAAATATAAATAAATGGCAATATAAACTAAACAATGTTTTTTAAACAGACTGACGAAACCAATTGTATGACATTTTGATAATCAAATTGATAACTCATGCTTATATTATTTTCTCAAAAATACATAAGGTTAGTATTATTAGATGTTAACCTTCTGTTACGTTTCCATTGTATGAAAGTTAGTTCGCATAATTTATTATGTGACTTTCGTTCAACCAAACAGTTTTATAGAAAAGTCATATATTAATTTCTCGTAAACAAAATATGCTTCTTCTATCAACAGAATAATATCATGGGGTTGTGAAAACCGTTGAACTTCATTGGAATCGTCAACCAATCTGAGTCAGACCACCACTGAAAATCTTGGAGTACTAGACAGCCATTTCGTCCTAGTATAGAACCCCTAGATTGAATAGGGTTGTACATCATCACCGTTAGATGCTGGCTCAATGGTCTAGAGGTTAAGCGCTCGCACGCGAACTTGAAAGACATTGATCCGATTACTATTTTCAGGATGGTGGATGCCCACTATTGAGGAGTTCCATATTGGGATTGGACGGCAGTTCATTATTCCCATGTTTTCAGTGGCGGTGTAACTTAAATTGGTTCATGATTTCAATCTAATACTTTTTAGTCAGAACATTTTTTATTTTGACCAGATGAGTGTATAGGCTATCCAACAGATAACTAATAAATTGGTTTAGATAGCAAAACAAATACATTCACACGGTGAACATAGAACAGGCTAACAAAAAGGTCAGTCCAAATCACTTCAGATTCATAGCACACTATTCAAATGATCATCCGATAACAATTCATATAGGTTTCATTATTTGCATAGCAAGATGAAAGAAATTTGACAATACTAATTTTAAAAGAAACAACTACCTATGTAACATTTAAGAATAATCTACGTATAAACAATAAAATATTACAATCAAATCTGTTAAGAAACAGAAGCAAAATGAAAGTAGGAAAATTTAATACTGAATCATTTTCTGGATAAGCTAAATTATGGAAAAATTCACTTACCATATTTCACTAAACATATATCACCAACAACAATATCACCAACTAGTACTTCTGTAATATCACCATCTCGTAAAACAGACATTTTATGGTCTGATTCAATTTTATCTTGTAAACCACGAAATTGTTTTTCTTTCTGCCAATCATTTGTTGCTGTTACTAAAACTACAACCAAAACAGCACAAAGTATAGCAACACCTTCAATCCAACTAACTTCACCTTCACTCTCATCACCGGAACTATGCTCTCCACCAAAATCTTTGTGAAGAAAAGAGAAACATTAAACAGAAGAAAATAAATTAAATAATGTTATTATAAGTTTAAGCGAAACAATAGCTCAACAATATTTTGTTATAGGCGAACTATCCTAAATACTTCTTACATAACCAAATATTTAGATCAGAAAATTACCAGTATTTCAGGTTTCTACTTATTTTTTTGTTCAAATCCTTACATGATTAGTTGATAACTGTCAAAAATAATTGTCTGGATACACCATTTTTATTCTTTATTGAAATGAAATTAATTGAAGCTATGCTTTAATATAAGAACGTACTTGTACATCGTCGATCCCTCAATCTACATGGATTCACATTCTTCAACGACTACTGTTTATATTATTCTTGAATACGCCTGAAAGTGGTATTTTGTTGATAAAATTTATACCACAAAGCTTCATTGTCTGAAGAAGAATTTCTTTTAACACAAATCCCAGCGTCTTTCATAGCTTGTTCGGATAAGCAGAGGATTTTTCAATACAAACTTATCACTCATTTTTTGGCTATTTCTGTCTTCCCAGTGATGTTTAGGACTGTAATTGATCAGTCCCTTATTAGCATATGTGCGTCCTGTGCCGATTGACTCGATATTATCTTAAGTCACAACATTATAACAAGAGATGGATGGTTATATATATATATATATATATATATATATATATATATATATAGTTTTATTGAATTCAGTCATATCTAAACTTAAAGATACAACCACCTGATAAGTCCCAAATAGAAAGGAAAGCGCGTCCTGGATACCACTGCTCGCCACCATCCATCTTTGCTTATAAAAAATGTCCTAATATTTAGAAAAATATTATGACCATTCCATTATGAGATAATTTTACATCTAACACCCTTTTTACGATAAATTGACAGATCGTACTGATAGTTTTTCTTAAACTTCAATATGAACATTATGTATCAGTAATGTTCTTGACTGATAGCGAATTGTGAAAATAACTACCTTCGAAATTTTACTGGGACTAACAGCTTACTAAATTTTGTCATTTTCGAACAAAAACACTTCTGATTTATTGTTATTTATAAGTTTCATTAGAAAGAAATATGAACAGTGTTATAAATTATTCGATAATTAATTATTTATGATAAACAGTTAGTAATAAATATGATTAGCTAGTTGTATTTAATAGTATATTTAGAAAAAAAAACATCAATTGGTGAAACATAATGTTTTTAAGACCAATAACTGGCAAGTCATTTATTTTTTATTATTTGATTTACCTCTCTTAAGACTGACCATCAAAATGAATTACGGAAAGTGTTTAAATTTTTTTACCCAAAATAATATCAATCAAAGCACAAAGCAATGAAAACATCTTCAGCTGACCGTATGTAAAATTTATCCTGATCCGTAATGTAATAATTCTCAGTATGTATGCATAATAGTACACATGTCGTTACAAAATATTAAACTTAGTACAAATTTATGTTGTTTCAAAATCCTATACCTTACTCTGAATTAGTAAACTTAAAGGCAAAACGTTAAATGTAATAATATGGAATTAATACGTTATAATTTGCAAACACGACATAGAGTTTGTAGGTTATAATGTAACAAAATGAAATGGAGAAATGAGAATTGTATAACAATACAAAATATAGGGATGGGTAGGAGATAAAAAGTGAACAAATCTATGTCCTTACATCCTATCTTAAATTATGTCTTATAAGACTTTTATCACTAAGTTTTATATTGGTCTGACCGTCTCTAAATGGTTCCTTCAGTCTACAACTTCGCCGACAAGCATTTCATTTCGATGTTTTCCATGGCTGTGTATACTTAACTCTTCCTCCGACAATCACAGTCGAGAAGTGATTACGGGCTCATCAACATTTTTACTATCTCTACCCAGTACCTTATACTCAATATAAGGAATACTCACTCAATATTACCAATGTAAAACATTAGTTGAAAAGATCCATAAGTGACCTTTGAATAACTAAAGGTATGTACTTACATCTTTGCGCAAACTTAATGTGTTTCTAATTGTAATTATGCATTTAGATTACCTATCAGACTATTTTTCATGCTCATTTGTTATGGAATACTGATTGAATATTTTTTTGTTATAATATATCATAAATACTTAATAATCATTCTGACAAATATGAATCCAACAAAAATATAATTAAGGACAATCTAAAAGGGGAAGAGAAACAAACCCTTCATTTTCACTCATTCTAATCCGATTACTTAATAAAATGTATTTCCAAAGTAGATCATTTAAATTCAATGACAATTTACCTACATTTAATTCATAAACAGTACTGTAAATGATATGCTGTCATTGTCGCTTTGTGTGCATTTATTTAATCATAAAATCTCAGTACTATAGCAACTCATGAGATTTTATGCTCAACATTAATAAAAACAATTCATGAAATAGATACTATTGTCATTATTATTATTACTATTATATTCATCGTTGAAAAGAAGGGGTTATAACAGCTTTTTTACTTTGCCTTTTCTGCATAAATAAAGGGAGATACCTGTCACTTCTCATTTGTTCTTAATTTGTTTAAGGCTAGTATTTATTGACCCTATAGGCTGATGAGAGATAAACAATGATTGATAGATAGTGAATAAATAAATTATTATTTTGAAAAGATAAAGAAAAGGGAGAAAAATGAACTCTTATTATATGCTGAAAAACATTTACTACTAAAACATGAACATATATGAGTATATATGTATGTGTGTTGGATTCGATCATATCTACAATCTCTTAACTTTGTTGTAATATTCCATTTCCCTTGGGTGAACTTAGTCAGTTATCGGTCGACTAAGAAAAACATAAGATCTGGGACGAATATATCGGTATAAACTGCCACATATATCAGCATAGCGAGATAAAAAATTACCAGTAGATAAAGCATAGAAAAGAAACTAGTACTAACTGAAATGAAAAGTTTATCATGGAGAACATAATTTCAAAAGAAGAAATAAACTTGAGGGGTAAAAACGATGGAACAATATTAAACCTAAGATTTATAGGAAAGAAGATAATTGATAGAACTTCGTCATGAAAAACGACTTTCAGTCGTTTCATCAGTTTCCAATTGAAAGTCTAGATCTTACCGAATACCTCTGATTGACAGGCAATGATGTGAAGAACTGATGATATGTTTCAGTTTCTCCGCCTTCTGAATTATTTTCACTATTACTACATTTTCTCTTAGAAGGGTGTTGCTGAGCAAGTGTAACACATGTTTGAACCACGTCACATGATAAAACTTTACAACCTCAATAATCGGCTGCTATTTTGTATTTAGAACCAAATGTCTCGCCTTAAAACTACATACTTATGTGATTCTACTATACAAGAGCAATACTTTAATTAAGCTATTGAATGTACACCTGGAGTCTATGCAAATTCTCTAAATCTTCAGACTAGGTTTTAGCATCACAAACTGGCAAAGAGAAAACTTCTGCACAGCATAGGGATCATATCATAGAAGAAAACTGTCTTTCAAAACTCAAGATAGCCAAAATCACACGAGAAAAATATATTTATTTTTGAAAGCATCTTTCCTAAGTAGTTCCGTGAAACACCGCTTTATTTGAAGGCATTTTTCATTTCTTCCTGGAAATAAAACCATTCAAAATCGTCAAACATTTAGCCAAATGTTATATCCTGCACGAAGAATCTTTGACGGTGTTTACTGGCGGTATCAGAAAAATTTGAGTGGAGAAACATCCGGCTTCAAATCCAGCATAAGGAAAATTAAATATATTTACGCGTATATGTGCAATAAAACAGTAAAGATCAATGAAGTTTTATCGTGAAATTCAAAAAGATCGTCAGACATGTCAGTATATTTAAATAGAACCAAATCACAATGTATCAGTTACTGATACAGATTTCTAGGTACTTATTTTTTATTTATTCAACTTTCTTTCCGTTTACACAATTTATGTACGAGTCTTTCCACATTACTTTTTAACATAAAATAAGTAAAAACGAACCAAAATCAGATATTCCGAAAGTTCACAAACGGACAGAAAAATTCATTCGGTTGAAAATTACATTCCACAAAACACAAAATAAATAATTATTCATCTATGTTAAAAATATACTGTATGGATTTATATAAACCATCGAATTGCATTTTCCCTAGTAACCTTAACCTCTAGATCAATGACCTGGGATTTAACGGTTAACAGGTCCAACTTAAATCAATCCACGATATTGCGCGACTATCTTCCGAATTGGATCAGCCCATGATTACAATAAGATTCAGCAATCTCCAAAACTCCATACTGGCAACCATCATATGCTCAATAGTGACTAGCACCAAGACAAAATTTTAGTTCTAACGAGAAGTCGCGACTAGTGGAGCTAAACCTTCTAAAGTTTTAAGAAGATACCCACCAAAGGCAATGAAAATGGTCGCACAATAGCGTGGATTGATATGGGTCAGAGTCTGAGCTTTTGAGAGCAAGACCAGAGGTCTTGATTCCGACTTCTGAATTCGGGGTCATAGAAAGATATTGCTCAGGATTCCAATGCAAGGAAGAAACGGTCACCTATGCCTTTCATGTTTTCAGTGGTTATCTTACTTCGATGGGTTCATGAGTTGAACAAAAATAATGTTGCTTGCCATGAGATCAAATAATATCCACCTACAAAATTTCCGGATATCATTCATAAAAAGTTTTGAAAAATTACATTATTAGTACATCTTTTCTGCGTTTGGCAAACAAAATACATATAAATATATATTTTTAAATACTTGTATCAAAGAAGAGAAAACTTCCGTTTATTCAGTCAACTTGACTACAACACTTGGCTATAAGTGTACACATTAAATGTCTGCATAAATCCTTCTACTAAAATATCTAAACAAATTACTAAAGTAAAATGATATTTACATACTGTGAAGAGACAAATCAACTTTCATTTCATTTTCAACTAATAATGATTTTTCTATATATTTGACATGCCAATCATCTTACCA